TATCCACTCTGCAATCACCCTCACTTCAGTCACTCCTTTTGCCCTTCCTGGACCCTCTTGCGAGATCAACTCTCTTCGACGCTCACTCTCCATCATCTTGAGCTACTCTTAACACTTGCATCCCTTTTCCTCGATCAACCGGTATCCATCTTCACCGTTCTACCGCCGCCACCACCCGTTCACCTCACTGTAACGATTTACTACCACCACCAACGAATTCCGCTATTACGACTGCATTCGCTTGCACGCACACCCTCAGCTCGTACGCTCGTCGTCATTCTAATCACACTTGGTCAACCTGAATGCTCCGGTAAATCGGTCTTTTGCTCTTTGATAGAGCCTGTCTATCGCTTCAGGCCTGGATTAGGTATTGTCTACCACTGCTAGTCAATGTCGGGAGTCCTTGGAGCCAATCCCTAACGCCGTTCCCCAGGATCTCAGCTCTCACTCGCGTGTCACACAACATCTCGAGGTAGACTGTATCTTGATCACAGCCGACAAAATGACTGTCACAAACGACCTGACTCATCGGAGTCCTTCGGGACACCAGTTCGCCCTCGAGGACCGATTTGAAGTTCTGAAGGAGATTGGCGATGGTAGCTTTGGTAGCGTCGTTCTTGGAAGGGTCCGGACAGCGGGTGCCAACGTTGCCCGCCGAGGGACTGTGGTAAGTTTCACTCGATGCGCGCCCTGCGTTGTGTGACAGCACCCGTAACAGTCGTTTAGGTTGCCATCAAGACTATGAAGAAGACCTTCGAGTCAATAACGCCCTGCATGGAGCTCCGCGAGGTCGTCTTTCTCCGCACCCTCCCTCAACATCCTCACCTCGTCCCCGCCCTCGACATCTTCCTGGACCCCTACAGCAAGAAGCTTCACATCTGCATGGAGTACATGGAGGGTAACCTCTACCAGCTGATGAAGGCCCGGGACCACAAGTGCCTCGACAACGCCAGCGTCAAGAGCATCCTCTTCCAGATTATGCAGGGCCTCGAGCATATCCACTCTCACCACTTTTTCCACCGCGACATCAAGCCCGAAAACATCCTCGTCTCCACTTCCTCCCACAGTGAATCCAGCAACTCCTTCCGACGATATTCAGCTCTCGTGACGCCTCCCTCAACGCCTCCCACGTACACCGTCAAGATCGCCGACTTTGGTCTCGCTAGAGAGACACACTCGAAGCTTCCCTACACCACTTACGTTTCCACAAGATGGTACCGAGCCCCCGAGGTTCTCCTGCGAGCGGGAGAGTACTCTGCTCCCGTAGACATTTGGGCCGTTGGTGCCATGGCTGTTGAGATTGCCACTCTCAAGCCGCTGTTCCCCGGTGGAAACGAGGTCGATCAGGTTTGGAGGGTATGTGAGATCATGGGTAGCCCTGGTAACTGGTACAACAAGTCGGGCGCTCGTGTTGGAGGAGGCGATTGGCGTGAGGGTACCAGACTCGCCGGCAAGCTGGGTTTCTCGTTCCCTAAGATGGCCCCTCATGCCATGGATACCATCCTCCAAACACCGCAGTGGCCCACCGCTCTGAGCCAGTTCGTCACCTGGTGTCTGATGTGGGATCCCAAGAACCGACCTACTTCGTCTCAAGCTCTCGCTCACGAATACTTCCTCGACGCCGTCGATCCCATGCGCCCCAAGTCTTCCGCCTCTAGAATCCTCGGACGCAAGCAGTCTGACCTTGGACGTAGCAGCAAGGACTCATCTACTACTCCCACCTCCACAAAGCAATCTTGGTTCCGCAAGTCGCTCATCGGTCGCTCAGAGAGCTCCGACCTGGCCACCGTGCAAGCCCAGGTCAAGGAAGCGTCTGCTCCTCGACCTGCTCCAGTACATACCTCATCGACTACCGAAGTGCCTTCAAACGCTAAGCCACGCCCAGCGGCCGGAAAGAGAACTACTTGGACCAACGGCCCCTCGAACGTCGCTCCCATGCCCATCCTACCCACGATCAGGCCCATCTCGCCGGTCCCCGATGCTGTAACTGCCCGAGCCAACAACGGTTACAACGACTCGTACGCTAATGGACATGGCCAGGGGAAGACCAAGAAACTTGGCCGGCAGCTCTCTGTCGCTTCGAGCACGAACAACTACACCGAGATGCACCGACAGCAAGCAGAGCGCGCCCTCAATGGAAATTCGGGCCTTGCGTCGCCACCCAGTGGTCAAAAAGAAAGCTTCTTTTCACACCTTAGAAAGCGTGCCAGACGCTTCTCAGGTCGACACCAGACACCCGTTTCCCCTTCATACGATGATCTGGAAGCTCAAGCTGGATGCGGCCCTTGGGCTAGCAACCGGTCGTCCATGGTTATTGACCAAACACAGCAGCAGGCTCCCATTCCCAAGTCAGAGGTCTATGAGTCCCTGGATAAAGCCCTGCGGGATGTCCAGAACAATCTCGACTCGCGTCCACCTGTACCGCCCGCCCATCAGCTATCGCCTACGAGCAACCTCAAGCGGCATCACTCGCTACCTCACCACCAAGCTAGGTCAGTCGACAACCTGATTGGTGCCGCCCGAGGTGGTCCCATCTCGAGCCGAACACGACGAGCACAGGCGACGCATGGTATGCATCAGTACGAAGCCCCTGACGAGGAGGAGGAACTGTTGGACGAGGCTCTCACCTCTACCCAACGTGCGATGAAGCGTATGGAGCAGAACCCGGGCAAGCCTCTCCGTCAGTCGGCTAGCAATCTGGGTCTGATGAACCCATATCCAACCCCTTCGCCCTCGGCCAGTGGCAACCAAGTCCTCTTCGGTGATGGCAATGAGGCCGTCACTCCGAGGCCACTTGATCTACACAAGAAGTCCGAGGGCCAATACAAGTGGCCAACGCCCCCTTATGAGGAGAGCGAGTGGGCTGCTTCAGCGGCGGCTAGCATCTGGGCAGCTGGCAACCGTTTCTAAGTTATAAGACGCGGGACACAACGCGGTACGATTACGTCCAGTGGTGTGGCAAAAGTTCTTTGGTATCGATCGACTCGCATGGTCACGGTGTTTGGTGTTGGGCAAGATACGCAACTCTCTCGTTTTGATCTTTTTCGTCGTTACGTGGGCGGTCCTTTTTGATTTTTGGGCATCTGGCTTGACTTTACACACTTTATTCCTCCTTTCGATTCAGCAGGCTCGACGTTTCACCAAATACCCGGCCGGATTTTGCGCCGCCTTCTGCATATTACTTATTACTTCTTCTCTATCCCTCCCTTTTCCTGAAACATTTTGCTCTTGTTCGTTTCATCCACCTTTGAGTATCAAATACCCCTTATAGACCGACACAGGCGAGCTACGCCGCTATCTGCTTGAAGCAATACCGCATATCACTGAACCAATTTCTTTCCTTTGTCAACTACCTACCTATTATATAAGAGGGGGGATCGGAGTACGAGGTGCTTGGGCTGCATATGAACGGCCATTTTCTTTGTCACATGTTGGGATATCTCATCTCTTGAGCGCACAAAAAGGGTCAAACAGGACGCCTCCAGGGAGACAGGAAGGGAGTGGGTGAAGGAGGGAGGATCAGTCCAACGTTTGCTTATTGAAGAATGTTGTAAAAAAAAAGTCAGCGATCATTTCATTACGCATCTTTTCTGTTTCGTCAGCGCATTCGGGAGACTGCCAACCGAACCGAGTACCTAGATGGGAGTTTTGATACCATGGCCATGAAGCCGGCCTCAGACCAGTTTGCACTTTTACGACGTATATAATTAGGTAGTTGATGCCCTGAGAGGGGAGGCTGGTGCCTCGATGGACGGATGGAGTGGTGACGGGATTAATCAATGGAGATGAACCATGACTTTTGTTGCTAGTGTGACGTGCAATTGCTGTCTTATTTGGTGTTGTCGTTTCTAATGAATACGTGACTGTGCAAGGTTTAGTGGCGGCGACGCCGTGGAAAGGATGATTAACCGAGTGTCTCGAGGTGGAGAGAGCGGTTGAATGTTGAAGAATGCTGGATATTGCATTGGCGGCCTGTCGAGTGGGGGATGAGGTGACGAAAATAAAGTCACATTTGTGCTGAGCGGGGGAGGCAAAGAAGAGAAATGAGGGTTGATGGGAGATGAAGTGGCTTGATGATGGATATGGATATGAGATGAGGGTGTATGTCTTGGAGAGAGGAGTGAGAGTAGATTTGATGGTTGTGCGGGCTTGTGCAAGGTTGAACATTTTTATGAATATGGAGATTTCTGTTCAAGATGAGTGAGACACAATAGTTCTACTTTGAGAATGAGGGTCTAGGCTGCCATTATCGAGGTCTTGACGAAGCTGGGATCTATAAACGGAGTCTGCGACGTGCGTCACTAGCTTGACGGGATTCAGGTTCAGCCTAGAGTTGGGACCCTTCGATACGACGTCAAATGGCGAGGTTGAGGTCGAGGTCGGGGTTAGGGGCGTCACGTGTTGACCAAGGGAATAAGATGGATCGCGACGCTTACCTTAGGCAGCACTATTCGCATCCTGGTAAGCGGAGCTGAAACGACGACGAGAAGCCAACTTTTTGACCGACAAGGACGACGACGACGACGACTGACAGTCTTGGGGGTATCTTTAAAAACGTGTCATCTTTTGTTAATGAGCTTCTCTTGAGGCCTTTTTCTTTACCTCTCTTTTCTCTGAAGAAACCGTGACGATTGGGGTTTCAAGTTTGAGCGGAAAGTGTCAAGTCAACTGATGAACGGACCGTCGACTTGAGTGAGACGACGTGGTCCTCTCGACTAAACCTCGCCTCGCTTCATCTTTTTAACAACTCGTTCGACCATACAACTTTTCAGTTCCTGGGGCCAAGTTTCGCCACCGCCAGTTTCACTCTCAACATCCCCGCCCACTTGAACGTCCAACGGTCAAGTCGCCCGCATCGCATCGCGGGGGAGGGGTTAAAAACGTTTTGGGCCACAGGAGAAGGATGGTAACGGCGCATGTGAGACCGAGGGCGTGAAAGCAAAACGAAAAACGACAGGCCAGCAGTTTACCATTCATCTGTCGATAAAATGTCCAACATGATGAACCTCAACATGCCGCTGCGCACCACCGCCAGCAGCCGGCGCAACCAGGAGAGTCGAAACTACTTTACCAGCTACACGCCTCCCAGCTCGACAGAGGCCATCAACGGTCCTGTTAGGGAGCCTGTGAGGGAGCAGCCGCCTCTGAGTGACCGGTTGATTGTGGGTGTTGACTTTGGCACCACCTTTTCAGGGTGAGTATCGATATACAGTTGGCAACTGAGTGGTGTCAAATTGACTTTTCCTAGTGTTGCGGCTGTCTACACATCTACCCCCGATGATATAGAAATCATCAAGACCTGGCCTGGAGGCAACGGTATCACCTCGGACAAGGTTCCCACAGAGATTGCCTACGACTACCCGCCCAACGCGCCCCAAGGTACCGACCCCTCGGTGAAATGGGGTTTCCAGTTCAAGCCCGAGGAGTCGCGGCTACGATGCATCAAGCTCTTCCTCGACCGCTCCCAGAAGCTGCCCTTTTACGTGAGCCCACTCGACACGGCGGCCCAGCTCAAGCGGTTCAACAAGAATGTTGTTGATGCTGTGAGCGACTACCTGACGCAGATTTACAAGCATACTATGGATACGCTTACGCGCCGATATGGCGAGTCGTTTATGGCATCGACAAAGGTTGAGTTTGTACTGACGTGTCCGGCCGTCTGGAGTGATGCTGCGAAGAACACGACTCTTCAGGCTGCGGAGCGGGCTGGTATGGGTAGTAGGTCTGAGATTCAGATGATTAGTGAACCTGAGGCTGCGGCTGTTTACACGCTCAAGGCTATTCAGCCTAATCATCTGAACGTGGGAGACAACTTTATTGTTTGCGATGCAGGAGGTGGTACCGTCGAGTGAGTTCAGCTAATACCCGTCAACCTTCGCTCCTAACATTTTATAGTCTTATCGCCTACAAAATCATGTCTCTCAAGCCACTCCGGGTTGAAGAATCCGCTGTAGGAACAGGAGGTTTGTGCGGAAGTGCTTTCCTAAACTACCGCTTTGAGGAGCACGTCAGGGGTCGACTTGGACAGACTAGATTCGATGAGATGAAGACCAAGAAGGGCAAGACTTGGCAGATGGGACTCCGCTACTTTGAGGAGTTTGTGAAGCGCAACTTTAACGAGGATGAGCACCAGGAAGTCAACGTCCCGTATGTCTACCTCAACCCTCTGGTGGCGATTTTGCTGACTTTTTAGCTTCCCTGGTCTTCCTGATGATGAAGAGGCTGGCTTGGACTCTGGATTCTTGGTCATGACGGGAGAGCAGATCAAGGACATCTTTGAACCGGTGGTGAAGGAGGTATGTGACCTCGTGCAAGGCCAAGTCAGCAACCTCCGATCAAAAGGCGGCATCGTCTCGGGTATCGTGCTGGTAGGAGGCTTTGGCCAGAGCGACTACCTATATCGTCGTCTCAAGTCTCACTTTACGAGTGCCGCACCGCCGCCATACAGTGAGAGGCCAACACATGCCAACGCCAATGCTACGGAAGAGATGGGGTCTATCGAGGTTATGCAGCCTGTGTATGCTTGGACAGCGGTGGTGCGAGGTGCTGTGTTGCGAGGGTTGGAGGGTAACATGGTCATCTCGCGCAAGTCGAGAATGCACTACGGAACATCGTACGCGACTGTGTACGATCCGACAAAGCACTCGGTTAGTGAGCGGTACTGGTCGCCGCTGTGGGAGAGGTGGATGGTATCTGACCGGATGCAATGGCACATTGCCAAGGTAAGTCTACCGTATAATGTTGGCAGCCATCATCTGCTAACACAACTCAGGGCGAGGCATTGTCACCACTTGCCCCCATCGCCTTCCACTACACACGCAACTTCCGTCCAGGCCAATCCCTCATCGTAACAGACGACCTCATAGCGTGCGACGCCGACGAACCTCCAGCAGCGTACACGCGCGACCTAATCCACGTGTGCACACTGACAACAGACCTCAACGCCGTGCCAAGAAGCATGTTTACACGTCTGACAACAACAAGAGGTGTCGAATTCGACAATCTCGATTTCACGCTCGAGATGAAGGTCGAGAGTGCTGGGTTGGGCTTTGAGCTCAAGGCTGACGGGGTGCGGTATGGAAGAGTCGAGGCTGAGTTTCACTGAGTTGGCGTGGGGAGTTTGTATTGGTACATAGATGGAGTGTTGAGTTGGGATATGCATGAAATGGGATTAGTTAGAAGTGGATATAAGAGGTGTTTGTCGTTGGGAGTTGAAGCTATACAAGCATCGGTTTTGCACATGGCCCAATAAGTGTATTTGTCTATTCGAGTTGCTTGAGCCTGTGAATGGACTTTTTCAGAGCCCTCTCAGAAACCTCTTTATTCTGACTCTGTCTTTGCGACTTGGTTCTTGTCGAGGAACTGATCTATTGAGTGGCCAGGCTTCTGGATCAAGAGTAGGCAGAGGGCGATTTACCGGGGGGGGGAAAGGGTCAAGTACTTGGGGCGCCCGCTGGGAAGGCAACAGGCAACTTGCGAACCAGTGTGCAAGTCGTTCCCTTAGGTTGGGTTAAAATTGCAGTGGAAATGAGTCGCCTTGCAACGAGCCAGCTAGCTGACTGGGTCGCACCGAACATATGAAGGTTTCCAGAGAGCTAAGATTGCAGTAAAGGTGAGTTAAACCCAAGCCTTGACGAGGCTTACGTGTTTTGGGGGGTTAATTAGCTAGGAGCAAATGAAGAAGCTGCTCAAGCTTCTATAACAGTGATGTCCTGTCCTCAATACAAGTTACCTCTTAACTGTAGCAACTAGGAAATGGTTATGTGGAGATGGTGGTGATCTACCATAGTCTTTGACAGGGCTTAACACGGGGAACTACCAGCTGGATGATATGATGTTTCTTCACAGGTTAATCTGGAATACTATCTATCACGGCGCGGTGGAGGGCCACAACACCGTGATTCCCTGAGTTGAACTTGGCAGCTGTTCGCCCTGTATACAGGAATGAAGTGCGTATAGTCATAAACATGCCAAGAGTAGGTTGCCTCTCTCTCCATCTGGGTTCTTTGCTTCTGGGCTCTATCAATAACTTATTCTTGGAGGTGTTGCAACAAGACCCTCTTGGCTATGGATTTGGGAGCCCACTGGTCCAAGACTCAGTCAAGTGTGCGAGCGTTTCCTCGGGCTGGGTTAAAGTTGCAGTGAAAAATTGACGGATGAGTTGTCAATGAGATTGAAGAAGCACTGCACTGATTGGTTTGGCCATGACTTCCAGCTTGCCTCACATAAGATCACCTTGGACGGTTGACCAACAACTGGGCTGCTCTGAGCTCTGAAGGCTCTTGGGGCGGGTTAAAATTGCAGTGAACAAAAGGCCGGTGGTTCGTAAGGTATGGAGGTCTATCTCAAAAGTTTTGTCCTGGCCCTTAAGCCACACAAATACACGAGCCAATCAGAGGTCATTTTCTAAGCCCAGTTACATCGGTACTTATGATCCTCTTTCTTTGCTTTTGAAGCCCCTATCTTCTAAGGATGCAGCTCTCTAAGCATCACTAGATTTCCCCCTGGGCTTCAATAGCCCTCCCTATAGCTTTAGGGAGTAAATAACTAAAGAGATTCGCCCCAAAGTACCTCAGGTACCGACAGGGATAAGTGGCCTTGGCGCTGTTAGCTCCTGGACAAAACTTTTGAGATAGACCTCCGTACAAGACTGCCTCATGCAAGGTTGCCTTGCGCTGGCCAAGACTGAGGTGGCCCTGAGCGCCGGGGGCTTTTGAGGAGGACTGACGTCGTAGTGCAGAGAATGTGGAAGGATGCAGAATACATCAAGCCTCAAATCTTGATCCAGAATGGGTTGTCTGCCACGGCTTAGGGGAATGAATAGTGGTGAAACCGTCCTTCTCTAGGTAGTTTAAACCTGCCATTTTCCATGCCCAAGTAGAAAGAGTACGTACTCAAATGAGTATATCCCGCTTGGTTTCTCTGTGTGGTCCTGTCGTTCCAGGGAAAGACAATTAGAAGGCAGCTGAAGAGCCCTGCCAACACTATGACCGGGAACCTGCCGGCAGGCATCCATGCCGGGGTTCTCTTGTGAGAGGTTAAAATGCAGTGAAGGTATTGCGACGGATATGGGAGGGTTGCTTCGAGCTTTAGAGTCTCTCAGAGAGATTTAAAAATGCAGTGAATCCTCGATTGCGGAGCCACAAGCTTGGGTGTTTACATAGATGATGCCGGCGCCCATGCTGGGATTTCACAACATACAAAAAGCGACGAGATGGGCTATTATCCCCTGGGTGAAACATGTTGTTTTCCTTATACTAGGAGTCTGTCTATGACTTGGCTTTCGGTTGAGCCTTTATATTCCTATTGTCAGTGATTCAACAGCTCCAAGAGATCCCTCTTGACGGTGTAAGCGTAAACATGCCGGCTGGTGTAGGAGCATCGCCCTGTGTATGCACTGTAACCCTCGGTGTATGGGTGGACAGGCTGGCATATATGGGGGACTTCTGGAGAGCTCCTGTGAATGTGGAATGAGTCTGCGGAGCGTCAGAAGTATAGCGAAGAACTCATAGGTTGGGCTATGACCTATTTCCAGATAAATTTGCTTGTGTTGGCAAACACTCTGACGGCCAGTCAGTTGAGCTTCGAGGGCTCTCGGGGCTAGTTAAAATCGCAGTGAAGGTAGGGAGGGGGCCAGGCTTCAGCCGAAGCACAACCACCCTGCCAAGCCAGATGCTCGCATGTGCAAGTGATGGCCACAATAGTAAACCTATCATGGGGTTCTCTCAACTGAATACCTTCGCAGGGTGAGGTAGTGTTGGTTGCACAGAGAAGAGTCTGTAGCAAAGTCGATATTCGCTGGGCTGAACCGGCTACTTACTTACCTTGGCTCTCAGCTAGGGTATCTAGCTTCTAGTTCCATTTTCAGTAACTAATTCTAGGAGACAGTGAGAACAAGAGGCTTCTTGCAGGGCGATATAATTGTGAACCTGTTGACTAATGTATGAACGTCCCCTTTGGTTAGGTTAAGAATGCAGTAAGGAAAAGATATTTCGGTCAGATTTTCAGACACACGAAGCTGCATTTTAAGCCATGGTTGCCTTATGCAGGCTTTGGGCAGGTTGACCAATAGTTAAGATGATATCCTTGGAGTTTGCCCCCGAACGCTCTGGGGGTGGGTTAAAATTGCAGTGAAGATTTCTGAACAAGGATGGCGAGGCTGCCATGATTGTTAGCCCATCGCATCGAAGAGAAGCGCAACTGCCGTTTCCCATTTTAAAACCAGCCTCTCTCTGCCTCAGAACCAGCATGGAGGACAAGTGCTCATATGAGAATGTCTACAACTAACTTGCTGGCTATCTCTGGCTCATTTATATTTGTTGATAAGATTTTGCTGTTGGCGATTTTCCATTTCATTTGAAGAGCCCTGCTGTCAGCTTGATCATGAACCTGCTGGTAGTGGAGTTGTAAGGCTTACGTCTTCGGTAGGTTCAACCATGCAGTGAAAGGACCATAGACTATTTTCCAGGCATATGTAAGGCTGCTTTGAGTTGGGGATGTTGGCTAATAGACCGGCGGACGAGCCCTTGGGGTGGGTTACAATTACAGTGGAGGGAACGTACCTTCTGACTGCGTCTTGTATAAGGTACCTACCATCTTGGCAAAGGTCCCGTAGGCAGGTTAAAACTGCAGTGAAGGAAATGGGAGCCAGGAGGCGCCATGCTACTCAGCCAAGCCATGTCCCTGTATGTGCAGATGATGGTGGCAATGGTGAGCCCAGTATCATAGGATCCTGCCAACTAGATGCCTTTGCGGGCTGACGGAGAGTTGACTCTTTTCCACGGTACGCGTAGAGAAGGATGGAAAAGCCGCTGTTCCCTATGATGAATACCACCCGTGTGCCTCGTCCATGTCACAATGGAGGGCAGAGTAGCTCTTTATTACTGGCTTTGATTTCTATTTTTAAGATCGGCCTCTTCTTGAATATACTATTCCGTTTGAAGAGTCCTACTGTTCATGAAATCGTGAAGCTTTTGGTAGCTGTGAGAGTACCCCCTGGGCAGGGTTGTCAATGGGGTGAAAGGACGAACCACTTTTCCAAGCCTTTTTCCTCTGCTTCAAGTTACCTTGGGAAGGCCGTCAAACAGAGAGGCGCGGGAGGTAGCTACTGTCTTGGTAAAGGCCCTTAGTGCGGGTTAAAATTGCAGTGAAGGGGACGAACACCTGTCGACTATGTGTCCGGATACGGTAATACAAGCCATGGCCCCTAAAGTGCGCCCGCAGTAAGATTCTGCCAGCCAGATGCCTTTACGGGTTAACTTAGAGCCAGTTCCTTGCCACACCACGCAAAGAGAAAGATGGCAAAACTACTGTTCCTCGGGTCGAGTCTACTGTACTGCCTATTCATCTACGTTGCTGATGTGGGAACGGAGGTTGAGGGATCACATGAACACGTATGCCCCCAAGTTAACTCTCTAGCTTCAGCTCCTTTGTTTCTATTTTTAAGAACTTGTTCTAGAAGACGGCTTGAATTGCATTTGAAGAGGTAGGTCAACTTCAAACACAACGGCGAACCCGCTTAAGTGTGTGGGTGCGTAGCTCTAGACGTGGTCAGGATTGTAGTGAAGATGATCTTGGAGAACAATGAACATGTGCCAAAGCTGCAACGAATCAGGTCCCTATTCACCAAGGTGCACATGTAAGTGAAGGAGTCAGCAGCGAGCACATAATGAGGAGCCGTGAATCGGTTAGAGCGACGCGTTCTTTGAAGTTTGATCCATGGTTAATTCATAACATGCCAAGATAGACAAAGCCGTTGTTCTCTGGATCAAACCTCTTATGTGTCCAGTTCACATGATAACAATGTGTGTGGAGGACGACCATTGTTGCTCATGAACATCTCCACCACTCAACTCTTTCTCCAAGGGAACTCTTTGTTCCTATTATGAACCACGTACACTGATCGAGAGTTAGATCGAAGGAATTAAAATAGCCTCATCCCCTCGCTCATCATTCAGAATCATTCCAACCAACATCAATTCACAAACTCCCCTGTTCTAATTGTTCCAATTAAACTGATTCACTCATTATCCAGGTTATAAGAGCAACCACCCAGTTTCAAAAGACAACAAGTAAGTAATACACCCTAAAAAGAAATAATTCATCATGGCAATGTATATGGATCTCGACTACAAATGGGTACATCCCAGCGGCGACTGGACCTGCGAGTCGAGGCAGTTTGACCGCGACAACGACTACGTCAAGGTAAAGCTTCGAATCCCGTGGATCAGATGGCCCGTGTTCGAGAAAGACATCGGGAGGGAGAACAGAATCCCCGGGGCAGAGATCTACAACAGGGCTGTCCGCGCCACCGACAGCTGGGCCCTCCTCCTGAGGGAAAAGGTCGACGGCGAGGAGTTTCCCCGGCACGAGGCCATGTCGTGCATCATCCAGATGCACGAGACGCTGCTGCACACTATCTGCACGCTGCCTGTTGAGTTTCAGTATCTTAGGTTGTTTTACGGCTTTGTTGCTGATCACGTTGCCAAGCTTAGCGAGGTGACGGGCTTGGATCTGGGTCAGGTTGTCTTTTTTGAAGATGGGAGGTTTAGGATTGAGGAATTCAAGGGGTACAAGGTGCGACTCAGGGCAACTTGAGAAGCCTTTGATAGGATCATACATCTCTCCCTAGCCATGCAAGGGAGTGAGGTCAGAGTGTGAGTGTCACCTTGATGGTGACAGAGCTACGAGTTAGCTCGATTATATATATACACCAATCAATTTGGTGAGCTCCATGTGAGCAGTCTGCAAGATTTCCTAGTTTTTATAAATATATTCTGCTCCTGGCGTTGAGTGGTTGAACTGATTCTTTGAGGTGACGAGAAATGGTACAGCGTATACGTAAGTATCTGCAAAGAAGACTGTACTCCTTGGAATAGATACCATACACATATAGTAAGATGTTGAAATATCTTTGCCGGGAGCGAAAACACACACTGGGCACACGCCCTTCTGTATTGTTTCTCTGAAGCCTCGCGACTCTGTTCTTCCACTATACGAGTGAGCCTCACTTTGCTCACTTCAGACCAGATTTTCCATCGAGTAACCAAAAGACAAGTGCAATGATATTTCCTACCCATGACCAAGACTCCCGTAGAAGTGTTTTTGTTCCATGTACATGCATGCATGCTGCTTTGCCAACAATAAAGCCACCCGCAACCAATCCTCCTCCAATTCATTCATGCCCCTTCCATTCCCTTCATTTGCTCTGCATCATACAATGAGCTTCCGCCTCCGTAAAATTCCGTCATCGTCCCCCGATATAATATCATGTAGTGATTTCAATGTTACAGCTCCGGCTCCTTCACTTCCTAAACATGCGCATAACAACGCGCTTGGCCAGGCTGTACAGAGCGTCGAGGCTCGCCGACAGACCGGCTTGTACACGGATCGGTTCTTCAGGTTGGGTGAACCAAAATGGCCGTCCGTGATCCTGGTTGTGTGTATCGTCTTCTCCCGGCTGGAGTTGTCGCTTTCCTCCATTTTCGAATATCCAGGTGACCTGTGCATTCCGATTTAGATGGTATTGCCGTGGGCATATCGACGTTGGCGACTTGGGCTGCCTGAGCCGCCTCGTCTTGTTTATAGTAGTAGTAGTAGTAGATAGTGTTGATGTTGATATAGCATGTCTTTTTGCTCTCGTCTGTGTTTTGCTCCGGCGCACGGTTCTGCCGCGGGTGACGATGATTCCCTTTTCCAAGAAAAAATCCATTAGACTTCCTGTGGACTCGTATAGTTGCTTCGCGGGGGCGCGTTGACCACCGCCTCGGCGTCGCCCACCTGTTTCCGTTCCGAGACCTCCCGGTTCCGGTTCTGTAGTCGTTTGCGGAGAACCCAAGGGGGAACCTGAAGGTTCTGTGCGCCGGGGGCGTCTAATTGCTATTGGAGGGGCTCGGACGACGAGGACAGGCGGTTCAGGTGGAGGTAGACATCGGTGCCGTATCTGGAGAGCGTGTTAATCATGAACTTGGGTCGTCATATGCGGGGGAAGAGTGGAGGTCATGATGGGGCCTCTGAGTTGCAAACTTACCCTTCCATGCTGATGAGCTTTAGATCTCCGCCAAAGTAGCGCGCGTATAGACGTGAGATGGGCAATCCGTATCCGAATCCAGCCATTGGGGCCTTGAAGTCGCTCTTGTCGAAATCAGGGTCCAGGCTCGGCGTGCGGTCGACAGTGGTGTACATGTAGGTCCAGACGAGAGGAATGGCGCTTCGAGGGATACCACCACCCTCATCAGAAATCTTGATGGTAATATCCTCCTTGCCCTCGGCCACAATAACCTTTGTCACAGGGAAGGCCTGCTTGTCCATGCCGTGGGTTTCGACGACGGCGCGCAGCGAGTTCTTGAGGGTCTCAAAGAGCATGTGTGACAGGTGACCGGGAACGTACATAAAGTTGAGGCTAGGGTTGCAGACGAGCTGGACCTTGGGGGCTTCAAAGAGGCCGTAGTGATCTTCGCAGACGAATCGGGCGTTCTCAATGGCTTCTTGGGCGAGGTCCTGGACGTTGGTCTTTGTGCAAATGATTCCGACGTAGGTAGGATCTCGGTGATGGCTCTGGTCCGTTAGGGCGATGTGTTGGCCGATGAGCATACGAATACCGATACGGGACATGTAGAAACGGTCGAGGAAGGACTGAATGGTGCTGTCGATTTGCATTCGCTGGCGACGGCGCTTGTACTCGAGAATACCCTGGGCCATAGTAGTGACGACGCCATCATGACGGCGCTTGATGTCGTGGAGAGTCTGGGCGAAGCGTTGGTTGTAGAGGTGCAGGTCGGCGGGCCAATCGCCCGTGTCGTCGACGACGGCAAAGTAACGCCGCGTCACGGCCTTCTTTCCGTTGCCGTTTCCATTCTGGAGACCTCCCCATCCCGAGGATTCACCCTCGTCAATTGAGGGATTGGGGGTCGCGGGAGGGAGGCGGAAGGCCTGGCGGCCGAGGGTCTTTGCAGGTTTCATGAGGCGGGTGCGTACATCTTGGGGGAGCTGTGGCCGGGGGAGTTGGGTGATTTCCTGCAGCCAAGTCAGTTTGGCGCTTTTCAAGGGATTGGCTTGTGATCGCATACCTCAAAAGACTGGGCGTACCAGTCCTTGACCTTGATCACCGAGGGCATCTCATTGAGACCATCTGGGAGCTCGTCAAGCTCTTGCACGCGGTGGGCCAGGCGAATTGGTAGCTCCTCGGCGAGGAATTGGGAAGCTCGGAATAGGGTTCCTAAGAAAATCAAGAGTCAGCGTGCCTGTGAAAGGTCCGGGGGCCCTCAATGGGCTTGAGGCGAGTAGAAACATACCGACCGAGGGCTTCTCGCCAAACTGCACCATCTGGCGCAAGCTGACACCAGTGGCGGGAAACCTGGCATAATGCCGGATGGTATCCATCAAACGTTCTGAAGCCTTCCACGACATGATGGGCAGTGGATTTCTATGTAGTAGAGGCGGGAGAGCACGAGGGGAGAGAGGATTCGGACTCGGAGGCAGGCTCGGACGGACGGAGGGAGAGACCGGGATCCCGCTGCGGAGGGCGTCCGTGAGAGTTGCAGACGAAGGACGAACTCACGGCGTCGTCATTGAAGGAGAGCCCTCTATGTTGAAGCAGAGTAGACGGCGGGCGCGTGTCGTGAGGGAAAGGAATTGGCCTCGGCTGCGGGGGAGAATGGGAGAGTGAGTGAGTCAAGGATTTGGAGGAGGAAGGGTAGGTAGGTATCAATTGAAGGCGGCCCCGCGGTGACTAGACTGGAGGTGTGCGAATAGCGGGAGAAGCCGAGGCAGTCCGGAGGTACGTATTTCTTCGGTCAGCGGCGTGTTCCCTGCTTTCTTCTTCAGATGGAGAATGGCAGCTGCGGTTGAAAAAGAAAATATGGCAGAAATTGGTGTCGCGTGAGACTAGAGAAACGATAGACGCGCACAATGGAAGATCCCGGAAAAAATAGAGACGAGGTGAGAATGGGGAGCAAGAGCAGGTGGAAGAAGACGGGACTAGTAAAGCCCAAGGTCAGGTGCGGGAGTGCTCGGTTGATGAGCACCTAATGATGCTTTCGGGGTTTGGGGGGCCAAGCAGTAGCAACACACATTGCCGGGGATAGCTACGGGATATGCATTGCTATGACAAGGGGAAAAACGTCATTGAGACCTCCCATCTTAGAGAGGTACCCAGGACCGGCTGCTCCAAAGTGGGATCGAGTATGGGGAAGCCCATCCATTTTCTCCCTCTGAGGGGGGTACATGATGGAGACGCTTTTACGGGGACGCGGAGCTGTGCCTTTGCTTCCCGGGGTGAAGGATACGGGCCTACGGGACTTTAGAAGAAAATGTATATTTGCTTAAGAAGAGGTATCTGCAAGCGGTCAATCTCTAGCAGAGGCATCTTGTTGAATGGGCGTGTAGACTTTCTTTCCTTTTTACGGGGTTGACAATCTGAACCTTTTCCCCGCCGGTCTCCGAGCTCAGATGTCGGGGTACGGTCGACTCACCTCGGGGAAATCTCCGGGGGCCCGGGTCAGGCCATGGAGGCATGAACGGCGCACCACAAATCGAAGAGATCTGGCTACAGGCCGTCACTTTTAAGGGAGAGTTAGGGCCTGGACCTTGCTCGCCGGGGGGAAGAACCGCGACTCGCAGCGGCAAGCTCGGGGTGAGTGGAAGATGTTCTGCGTCGGAGACAAGGGTTGGCGAGAGGGTCGAGAACAGAGGCGAGGCGCTGTTGCGAACATGGCGTCCAAGAGACGTGTTGCGTTGCTCGTCTCGAGAACGGACTGCCTTTTTCGGATATTTTGAATCAATATTTGCCCGATCCTACTCCTGTCTTTTGATTTCCTAGAAAGGTAATCCGCTACTTAGGTGCGTAAATCATGAGATACACTCAACTATAAACTGCCCATCTATGCTCCCGGCAATCAAGTTCCCCAGACTCCATCGAGCATCCATCGTTGGAGGCGCCGCCAGGCCCTTTCACAAGCCGTCTCGGTACCCCACACCCCACCTCCAATCAGGCTCAGCTCGGTCACATGCCGACCAACCGCTTCTCAGTTTTTTCAAGAACAATGCAAAGGGCATGTTGCCGGGGCAAAAGACCAGCTGTTGTCAGAAGGAGGTGCGCCGCTGTTGATCCTTTGTCTCTGGTGTTGCTTTCGTCTTCGTTTTGTAAATCAGGTGACTTGTCACGCGGGGAAGAATCTCGCTAGGGGCCTGAGGATAAAAAATGAACAGATTGGAAATGAGACCCTCGAATGTCTAGGTATCTGTGCTGCAGTAAGGGGGTAATTACGACAGTGCTTTTTCCTTAATCGCGAGAGTGCATCCATCGGAGTATTTATGTCTCACCACTTTTATTGTCACCATTGTTACCGCTGAAATCCCCATTCCCTCTTCAGAGTCGAGTTTTAGCCACAACCTTACAAGGCCAGGCGCTTGGTGGCCGATACTTGTGTCGCAGCCAAAAATAGGCGAAGCATGACGTATCTCGATTTGATGTTACGTGATTGGTCCGGATTAAATATGGGGCTGGCCCCGACCTGCTTAAGCGCAGCCAAACAGATTCTCCTCCTCCACTGACTGCATCAACCCAACCCAAATGACTCGACCCAAAGCCAAAGGGAGAGACTGAGGCCGCACGCGCGACAGAGACGCAGATTTCCAGGCCTACCTCGTGGGCGCGAGTAGTCGATTCATCGTCTTACTTTTGACGCCCTTGCTTCGCTTCTCTCTTTGCGCCCCCTTTCTGGGGCCTCCTGTGGCCCACTGGGCCCTTCATTTGGCAGCCCCCCCGGCCGACCAAGTTTGAGGACCACGCCCAAAGCTACGTCTTTGGTTGGTGGACGGTGCTCCAGCCTCCCGCTTCTCCAGGGGAGTCGGTGAGGCTTAGTGCTGTTTTTTTTCTCTCGTTTGTGCGATCCACCCACGGCCACGTCGTTCGTCTCCTTTAGGCGGGTGTCTTGGAAAGGTTCTGGTTCTCAAAAAGGGCTTGTGAGGCTCTGGTGAGCTGTACAGTCAAGCCAGGTCAGGTCTCGCTGCACATACCGACCGAGTCCCTCTATTTTGTCCACTCGCAACCATGGATCTCGCTGCCATCGACGAGGATCCTGCCGCTGCCATCGCTGCAGCTGAAGCCGCCGCAGCTGCATCTGTCACCGATGAGCAGCTCATCTTTTCGACGCCTGATCGCAAGATGCCCATCTCAAAATCTTCGTCCGGCGCGACGACCCCAGCCACCGGGTATTTTTCCTATGGCAACGACTACCGCAGCGACTACCGCCATCGCTATCACGACGACCATGACTCTGTCCCGGATCAGGACCTTCCTGGCATGAGGACGCCCTCATTACTGTCTAGTCCGAGTGTTGCTTCTAGTCTCGGCTTCTCCACTGGACGTTTGAGCCCGCTGAGGAGGGAGCTCTCCGGTTCAAGGCATTCTTCTCATCACGACCAAGAGCCCGATGACGCCTCACCAACTGCCCGACGGGGTGCCCGTCTCAGCCGGAGCAACCGCGACACCCTCGCCCGGCGTCTGAGTCAACTCGCTCATGAACTCACATCCGGCAACGATGATGTTGATGATGTCGACGTCGACCTCCTCACCGCCCAGCTGGACCACTTGGAAGCATCCACCAGAATGAAGAAGACAGTCTCATTCTCATCTAACCCGTCCACTCCCTCACCTCGTCCCACTCCCCGACGGCCCCTGAGCGTCGACATGCGCAGTCCCGGTGACTCCTTGTTCAGCTCTCCGGGTTCATCCATCTTCCGGACCCGCTTCTCCGACTTATCAGCGTCTATCCGGAGGGACCCCGAGCCGGAGCCGGAGCCGGAACCTGACCCTCCACCCAACATGGGCATGACGGTGGCTCAGGCCAAGAAGGTTATCCAGGAAGTGACGCAGCTCAACGAAGAGATGTCTCAACTCGTCGCCAATCTCAAAGCTCGCCAGGAGGAGTCGGAAGTAAGCTGCAGTTCTTATCTTTGTCCCACCCGTCCTAACATATTCGCAGCATATCCAAGGTCTCCTTATTGAGCGTGCCGAACGTGCCGCCCAACGCATCATCTTTCTTCAGAACCGGGTATCTCATCTGTAAGAACCCCGGACAGCCTTCTGCCCTTCTTCTCTAACACAACGCAGTGAGCAAGAGCTTCGCGAAAACGACGACGAGCTCCAGCATCTACGGATTTGTCTCAAGGCAGTTGAGATCCAACTGCCTCCTCACCCGGACAAGGAACTTCAACGATGCCTCTCTTCTTTCAAGCAGGACTACCAAGCCATGAAGCGCAAACGTGTCAACCGCACTAGTATCGCCAGTCTTTCCAGTCTTGGTTCTCCGTACCCTGGTTCGCCAGCATGATGAAGTCCACGCTTTAAAGGGCAGTGGCACGCGCAACGCTATAACGACTTTAACGACAACGCATTATTCTACTACATCTCACGCGCCCAGCGACTGTTTACGCTTGCCATGGTTCACTCATGTCCCACGACACCGGCCTCAAGGTCGCCCATCTCATTATCCACATGTCATATCAATGTCATGTTTACACGCTCTGTCCGCGTCCTGCTCCCGAGCACCTCTACTAGCACAAATCACAGATACCCCCTTTCTCAATGCAAGCATTCACATTCACATATTTTTTCACCCTTTGCATAGCACCGGTGTAGACGGCACAGCAATGTTTTTTCCCAACTCGTGGCACAAAAAGTCCAGTACTGATCGAGTGGAGCCTGGCTATAGAAAGTCTTGTTTTTTTCCATTGTTTTTTTTCGGTGAGACAATAATTTTGGTGTTTGGTTTGAAGCATGAGGGACTGCTTCATTGGTTCATCATAGTAGTGTCCTGTGAAAGGATAAATTAACTGTTTATTCCATTGAGTTTCAACGTGAGGCAGATGAATCTGTCAGCTTCTTGAGCAAATCGGTATTGCCGAAAGTCAAAGCAGAGCCTCAAGGCTGACGATTCATGGCATCGAGGGAGAGTCAGCGTCGAGGTTTGATGCCCAGTGCACTCTGTGCTCGCACACTGTGCAGCCCCACCCGTATCTAATCTGTGCCTCTATGGAGCCTGGCAAGCGTCGAAATTTTTCAACTTTCACGAATGCTTCATCCGTCACCACCAACAAATCAGCTTATCCCCGACCGACAAGATGAAGTACGTTCTAGTTTCTGGAGGTATGTACTGAATTATTGTCCCATCTATCGAAATCCCCATATTAACTTGATCGTCAGGTGTCATCTCCGGCATTGGCAAGGGCATCATTGGTACGAAGTCAAAGCAACACCGTGCCCCTCCTTCACCGTAACTAACCTCTTGTTATCTACCATGCAGCCTCTTCGTCGGGCCTTCTTCTCAAGACCCTGGGCCTCAAGGTCACGGCCGTGAAGATAGATCCTTATTTGAATATTGATGCCGGCGAGTCCCCAACAAATGTAGTTCCCCAGGCAGAGCTGTCCTGCTGACTGGGAGTCAAGGCACCATGAGTCCCAAGGAGCACGGTGAATGCTTCGTCCTCAACGTAATGCGCCCCGCTCCATTTCGGACGCGCAACTCTTGCTGACTGGGTTAGGACGGTGGTGAGAGTGATCTTGACCTGGGCAACTATGAAAGGTAAAATCGCTATATTCGTGACCGAGAATGCCGTCTGACTATCGTATCAAGATACCTGGGCCTTAATCTCACAAAGGAGGTAAGCTCAGATTACGCCCACGTACTCTTGTATTCTCCTCTAACCCGGATCCGTAGAGCAACATTACCACTGGAAAGATTTACAAGTATGTCTGCGAAAGAATCCCTGGCCTTGAAAGTGCCAAGACTAAACCCTGTCAGCTTTGTGCTATCAGAAGAGCGAAAAGGTATACCGACCCAGAAAGACTTGCAGCCATCGCGAAGCTGACAAGTTTTGTAAAGGCACCTATCTCGGAAAGACTGTCCAAGTCGTGCCCCATGTCGTAAACGCTATCCAAGACTCGATTGAGCGTGTTGCCAGAATTCCCGTTGACGACTCGGGAGATGAGCCTGATGTGTGTATCGGTATGTTTTGCACCACAGGCTATAGATGAAGTGCCTTTGCTGACCATGTCCAAGTTGAGCTGGTATGTAACCACGAGCCCAGGCGGGGTCCTATGCTCTAGGACGCTTCGCATCTTGTGTTACTTGAAACTTACCATCCTTAGGGAGGAACCGTCGGTGATATCGAGAGCATGCCCTTCGTTGAGGCGTTGACCCAGTTCCGTCAACGAGCTGGCAAGGGCAACTTTGTCAACATTCACGTTTCCTACGTTCCCGTCATTCACGGAGAGGAGAAGACCAAGCCTACGCAGCACTCTATTCGTGGAGCCCGTCAAGCGTGAGTTTGCCCCGTTGTGGCTGGGTTCTTGAGTTTGCAAACTCGCCCTAACAACTCACTACATGTTTGAACCAATTTGCTAACTAGTGTTCCAGGGGTCTTTTGCCAGACTTGGTTCGTCCTTGGGACTGCATTATTTCCGGAATAGTAGCTAACCTGGGTAGATCGCGTGCCGATGTGAACGACCTCCCCATGAGGCCACAGTTGCCAAGATTGCCAGCAGCTGCCACGTCGATATGGAGCAAGTTATTGCCGTGCGAGATATGGAGACCGTCTACCAAGTTCCCCATCTGCTCATGACTGAGGGCCTGCTCCAGCAGCTCAAGACGGGTCTGCAGCTGGACAAGCTGACCATTCCCCCTGCCCTCGTCGAGAAGGGTGCTCAGCTTTGGGAGGTGTGGCAGAAGACTGTCAACCCCCGACAGCACGTCGACCGGGTTGAGATTGCTCTGGTTGGCAAGTACGTCGAGACGCACGACACTTACCTCTCGGTCACCAAGGCTCTCGAGCACTCTGCCATGCGATGCCAGAAGGCTCTTCACATCAAGTGGGTGGACTCTGAGCACCTGGAGGAGTCGACGCAGGACGCCGACCCCACAAAGTACCACAAGGCCTGGCATGAGGTCTGCACCGCCGACGGCATCCTGATCCCCGGAGGTTTCGGTTCCCGTGCCACCGAGGGCATGGTCAAGGCGGCGAGCTGGGCTCGCACGAGAAAGATTCCCATGCTGGGTATCTGCCTGGGCATGCAGGTGGCTGTCATTGAGGCGGCGCGCAAGCTCTGCAACCTCAAGGATGCTGCTTCGGAGGAGTTTACCGCCAACGCTGAGCACCCCGTCATCATCTTCATGCCTGAGGGTAGCAAGACCGAGAAGGGTGGCACCATGAGACTTGTAAGGAGATTTCGTTTCTACAACTAACACCTGCTGACTTGATATATAGGGATCTCGAGCCACTCACTTCCAGCCCGGCAGCGAATGGAGCAAGCTCCGAGCTCTGTACGGCAACGCAGACGTCGTCCACGAGCGCCACCGACACCGCTACGAAGTCAACCCCGACTACGTCGAGCAGCTTGAGGGCGCAGGCCTCCACTTCATCGGCAAGGACGACACGGGCAACCGCATGGAAGTCGTCGAACTCAAGGACCACCCCTGGTTCGTGGGCGTCCAGTACCACCCCGAGTACCAGAGCAAGGTCCTCAAGGCATCTCCCCCCGTCCTCGGTTTCGTCGCCGCCAGCTCCGGATGCCTCGAGCAGATCACCAAGGAGATTCTCCTGGAGTACCAGAACGGCGTCGGTGAGGGAGTGCAGTTTTAAAAACCTAGACTTTGTTTGATTCCCGGAGGAAAATGACTTTTTCGGCGTTTGAAGATTGTCAACTGGATGCAAAAGGGGGTACTAGATGAGAGCATACAGGAGGGAGAAAATGTATTAGAAATGACCCTTTTTTGTTTTAATAGGCTGAGGTTTTTTGTGCTTTGAGGTGAATGGTGGTGATTGAAACCACCGAGTTAGACAAAGCTATAGATGGCTGGGCACTGAACCTCTCGCGATTTTTTCGCGATGATGAATATACCATGTATCAATTCGATCGGATAGACTTGCTGTGGTGTATGCTCGACTTGGCTGAGGTTCTAACAGCCCGCTTACATCTGACCTCTATTGCCTTGGGCGGGGTTAAAATTGCAGTGAAGTAGGTGTTCGTTGGTAATGCATGGGACAGCCTCCGGCTTATGAATTCCCTTTCCCAAGCACGCTACCTAAATTAGGGGTATCGGAGCTACAGGCTGGATTGCCTATAGCCGGAGTAGAGACTGAAGAAAGAAGACGCCAAATGAAGGGGGAGGGAAGAGGTTGACGATATGAACGAGGAAGAACGCGAGCGTTACTTGTACATATAAAGGCGACAAAGTCAACATCTCGGTCTTGTATGTGAATATCTATCCGGCCGGATCCAATGTTAGGCCATGTTGAAAGGGTGGTACAAGCACACAGGGGTTGCTAACCAAAGGGATACAGAGGCATCGATTCAGGTGTATGTTTTCGTGTAAGTGAAGTCGTTATCGTGAACATCATCCAACACCCAATCACTAGAGCTTCCCTTGACGAATCTTCATTGGTGTTCTTACATCTCTTTATCTAACGATAATTTAAGAGTAGGAGAACAGAAGCTCACGTTTTGCCTTGTACTACCGCCGCCTTGGGCGGGGTTAATATTGCAGTGAAACAAAATCCCCTCTATGTATCCGTCAGTCATGCTGAAACGGCGCCACAAACACACAAGCGTCATTTGCTAAAACAGTAAATGAAAAAACGTCGCAGTCCATATTCTCCATCGTTTAAATGTAGCTGTTGTAATGTCCCGTAAAGCTCTTCAACACCTAACCTCTAGGGTTGTCTTTAGTGAACTCGTCAATCGTTCTTCACCCATATCGTCACTGCTTCAGAATGAGAGAAGAGAAGCCAAGGTAGATGGGAATTCCTACAGAGTTCTTCTTGGTCATATATGTGATAGCTATACTCCCTGGGACATAGGCCGTAAACGTTCAACAGTTGGTGTGTCACTTCTACCCTCAGGCCTTTCCTCCATTTCCCTAAACAGCCCCCCTCGTCAAGGCCACTTTGATGTGCTGAATCTCGTTGATATTCGACAAGGTGAATTTGGGCTCTGGTTTGTTCCCGCGGCTCAGGACTCATGAATCAAGTCATGAGTCCAGTCTTGCTCTGCCGTGGATACCCTTAACCATGCCCGAGAGCAACCCCATCTTTCCACCCTCACACTCGGCTGTGTCGCAAGGCAGGCGAATTTTCAATCAAGGAGGCAGCCTGATCCCATGATACGAAGTAGATCCCTTATAGAAGCCCAATTCCTGGGATCGCCCGTTGATGTTGGTGGGAAACACTCGCCACCCGAGAAAGTGGTGTTGTGTCGTGTTCATCCGGTTCAACTTACACGTTGTCACCTTTCCATCGTCTTGACCCTTTTCATCTACAAAAACAGTAGAGCCTACATTCATTACATCACCCACGACACATAACTGGCCAAAACACCATGCTATCGATTAAACTCTGGTCCCTGTCATGCAGCGGCTACATCCGCGCGACGCCAACGACGTGGTCAGCTTCCCTAAAACGCCATGCAGAATGTCCAACATGGGTGCACCAGGCAGGTGATGGGGGCCAAGGATAAGTGCATGGTCATGAAGGGTTACGATCTTCGGCTGGAGTGGCAGGGTTCAAGAGTGTTGTAGAGGAGGGGGACGGAAAACCTGATTTGACGAGGTGGCGATAAATTGGATGCCTGTTGACAGCACCTGGGTAATTGATGGTGTACGGAATGTATTGATTCCCAAGTACCTTAATTTAGCAAACTGGTGATGGCCTCAGTAGAAATTTTGATGAAAATGCGACTGTCAAGATGATGATGCCTGTTTGTGAGATGCTGTTGCTATATCAACACAAGTCAACATTGACAACAGTGACTCAAAACGATACACATCAACCCATGAACATCTACCCCTGACACAACATCGGGCGCATCACAGTTTGACTCACCATAAGACCACGTGTTTGTAAAACGTTTCCAAGAGGAACATGTGTATGTATATGTGTGCGTGTCAAACGTACAACGAAACTTGTATTCCATGACTATGAGCCTCCCCCCCAAGTGCAATCTCATGATTGATCTAAAAGTATTGTCCCAGTAAACAAAAGAAAATCGTTGAATCGTCGTCAATCTCGTAATGTAGAAAAGTAATAACCCAAAGGTCAAACTAAATAGTGATATGGTAAAGAAAAAATTAGGAAAGAAAATAGAGATCCTTTAATGAGGATCTTGAAAACCCCTTTTAAAAATGTGGTGAAATTACATCCCAAAAACAAGATCTTCCATGGATCTTTTTTAGTTAAAAACATATTAGCGAGACCTTTCATCAGTCCCGTTGGTGTGAGTCCGATAGTGGCCTCCATCGTCCACAACCACGTTTCTCATGGCTCGTGGGTTAAGACGCATGTATTCATCGTATGTGAGACCATGAGGGTCTCTTTCACTGCCCTCGACTATCGGGCTTCGTCGCTCACTTTCTCGGCGAGGGATTGAGCGTGGTGTTGCCTCTGTTGAGGTCTTTGGTTCCCGACCTTGGTAGTAGCGGTACTCCTTTTCTCGGTTTCGTCGACTGCTGGGGTACCCGTTTCGGTGGCTTGATGAGACGAGGTCGTACGAGTCTGGAGGGCTGGAACTGCTTTCGATAGCAGATGTTGAGTGGCGGTAGCGGTTTGACATGGGACTGCGAGATCGGTGGTTTGATGTTGTTGTTGTTGGGGGTGGGGAGTGTTCCTTGGATGGCTTCACCGTGTTATCCGAGTTGGCACGGGGAACAAAGCGACTTGAAGAATCGGTGCGGGATGATGATGACTTGTAGTTGTCTTTTGAGCCGCGGCGATACTTGGACGAGTCGTGGCTCCGATAGTCGTCAGGTCTGTACCGTCCTGTGCCTTCATCTCTTGAAGAGCTAGACTTGTGAGATTCATCAAAGGAAGCTCTTCGATACTCGATGTCGTTCTCATTGGCCATCTTGATCCAGTCAGCGATAGCATTGACGACAAGATCGTGTGTCTCTCTCTGTCGATCCGCAGGCAAAAGATGTCTCGAAAGCTGCTTCGGCAGGCGCTCTGGCTTTCCATCGACTAGAGGTCCGTCGGCGGTGATGGGCAGGTCAGCGATGACACGGTTTAATCGCTTGGCCTCTTGATCAGGAAAAGCCTGGATCTGGCAGACCATCCAACGCTCAAAGCCGGCTGGAGTAAGGGAGGGGATGTGAGGCATGCCAGTTGGACGTCTTTGGATGAGGTGGTTCTCGCAGCGGAGGTGTTGATAGAGAGTCTCCAGGTTATCGAGAGCTCCGTGAGGATTGCAGTCGAATATTTCTAACCTGTGTTAGAGGAGGTGTTGTCAAGTGTAAGTGAGTACTTACGTTGGAAGGGAAATGCCTCGGATTCGAGTTTGTAGGTGGCGTAGAATTGGTTGAGTTTCTCTGGTGTGACGACAAGAGAGTTGTGAGGAGCGTATTCAGCAATCTGCACAAGTTAGCACTCACTCAATCTCAAGACGCAGTGAGGGAAACTCACCAAGTAGTTGGCAATTCCTCTAAGAACCTGACCAAGCCGGGCAGTCGGTTCACCCCTATCATCAAAAAGCCTCCCCCATTTCTGGTCCACCGCGGACAGAGCATTCCCCTGCTTATCAACCACCGGAGGCTCCGGCCGGGGCACCTCGGAGCGGGTCGCCGGCCGAGCGTTCAAAATAACGGGCGCTTTATCGGAGAAGCGCACAGACTGCCGGATCTTGGGACTATGCTGGGGTGACTCGCTCGGGGAGTGGTTATGGTTGACGAGGGAGGGCTTTGTCGGTTTGGTCTCGGAGATGAAGGATGACGTAGGGCTGCATGTTGATGCGGCTGAGCTCCGGTTCGAGCTTCTTCTGCTGGACTCAAAGGATTGTGCCATTGGGTCTTCGGGATCGTCTTCGACTGTTGCTTGGAAGGAGGATCTCCGGTCGATGGGATTGGACTTTGGGCTTGATGGTTCTGATGAAGATGGAGTATCTGGTGAAGGATGCTCGACGACTGCAAAACGTCAGCAGGACATACAGACTAACTCGAAAGACAACTCACGCTCAGACTTGACCTTGGCAAAGATCTCGTCAAACCACTTGGTCTTCATCTCATCAATAGTAAGCTTCCTCACCAACTCCTCCACCTGCTCCTTGGACATGTCTGCACCAAGTCTCTTCTTCATCTGCGCATCGCTTGACCCCGAATCAACCGAAGAGGCATCATCGGGTATTTGAATCCGTTCGCGGAAGGCCGGCTTGTGCAAACCTCCTCGGTCCACGCCGCCTCCGCTCCGGACGGGATACGACGACGGATCGGAGAGCATGGTACGGGATACACGGGAAAGGCAAAATAAACGGTATACGATAAAAGGGTCCCTGCACGGTGCTGGGATACACAAAAGGGCAGAAATGACGGGCAGCACAAGAAAGGCTGCACAACAGTTTGAAAGGAAAAAAAGTTGAGGATCAAGTGAGGCGAACAGAATGGAAGGGCACAAACGGGCTTTTACATATTACGACTTGAACTCTCAGAGTCCTACTAGTCTCCCGGGCACACACATGCAGACACACGCACCGATTAACAAAAGAGTCGACCGATTGGGGTTGCTCAGCAGCCTCGATTGAGGCCCCCGCCTTGGGAGGAGGATGGGATGGCCGAGTTGCATGAGCCGGGCGCAGGAGGATGGATACCCCCTCCCTTGTC